TTTATTTCCTGCTTTTGAAGTTCATATGTCATGCTGTGTTGTAGCCTACAGAGTGCACAATTCTTCTCGTGATTCATGGCATGCGCACGTTTTATGGGCGTCACGACAATACAAACTGCAACGTTAAGCGTTCCTTATGTGGCGTCATTTTAGAGTCTACTGACTGACTGACAGACAACACACTACTGTATTGCGGTTTGAGTGGTTAAAAAGAGAAGAAGAATGTATAACAATACGTCACACAAACTATATACATATTCTATACCCAGTGCCGACGATACCTTTCCCAAAGTCTTAGGACTCATTATGCACTCATCAGGTTGGCTAGGATACGATAGTAGAGGTTGAGACGCTACTGACATTATGAAGAACGTACCGCGCTTAGCGAAACAACAACAGGTGTTTTAACACCTGAAGTCCGGGGCTTCGGATTACTCACGTGTCTAGCGGTGTTACAACCAGTAACGAGATTGTGTATTCTTAGAAAGATGGGGATTTCCGTTATTACGGAAGGTGTAATCGTGTAATTATCCCCCCCCACTCTTCAATCGTGATAAATGGAATATTCATTTTTTAATGACCTTATATTCACTATTTTGTATTTCTCAGCTATTTTACGTAATAAAGATAAACTCTTTCGAAGTATCAAGGTCATATATAACACCTTATGTAAAAACCTAATCAGCCACCATTTTGTAAGTCACGTCTCGCGGTGTGTGAAATGTTCCTTTGTTAAGAAACACGCTGCTAAACTAAACAGCTATTGGTTACCATGACGACGACTGTATTAAAATGGTACAAGGAGGCCAACACGTTTCTAGGTTACAGGAATCAACCAATGTTTGCAAAGAATTTACTTGCTAAGCAAATGATCTGTCAGAAAAAGATAGTTGACGGTGTATCGATCTTGACTAAATGTTTATTAGTATTAATATTATAAGTGACCTATTATTTTGTAAGAACTAATTATCACATCTTTATTCGTAACAATGTAACAGAACTGTTATTTAATCAACAACGAATTATCACACCTTTCTTCGCAACAATGTAACAGAACTGTTATTTAATCAACAACTAATTATCACATCTTTATTCGTAACAATGTAACAGAACTGTTAGTTAATCAACAACTAATTATCACATCTTTCTTTGTAACAATGTAACAGAACTGTTATTTAATCAACAACTAATTA